AATTGCTCCGTTCTGCAATTGCTCTGAACTGAAAATGTTTTTCTGTCTTTACATGTTATTTGCAAATGTATTTTATGGCCGGAAATTAAAATGCTGATCGACGACGAAAGGTCACCGAGTTCATTTTGAACAGCGATGACATAAATCACCACAAGATCATATGTGATGCAACAATATTACTACTGATAAGCACACAATCTTCTGATCATCGATACGTTACGGATTTCAGAAAGCCCATTTGTAGGTCGAAATGATGATGCTGGATGGAAAGATTGCAAGATTTGTTGCCATTATTGCTTATGAATCATTTGATTAAACAGTTTCGCGCATTTCAACGAGGAATTTTTCTCTTCAGTGTCCTGTAAGAACCTGATATGATGTAAAAGAATTTTAATGAAATCACCCGTATTAATTGCAGTTGTTGCATTGGATGATTTCGGCTTCTCAGCAGTTTCCTCACGATCACAGTGCTGAATCGTGGGTGTTGAGCTTGAACTACGTTGTGAACTGCTACTCTCCTCACATCTGTAAGCATTTCAACTGTACACGTGCGCCGTTCGATCATACAGCTGATCATTTATAAAATTCATTCTCTTCCAATGATCACTTCATCAAATTCGAAAAAGATTGCATTAATCATTTTTTACGTCAGCAAAATCCTCAAAAAATGAACTGATTTATTCGAAAGTTTACGAACTCATTTAATAACCACTCAAGATTAATAACTAAAAGAGTTGGATGTTGAAAATACAAAAAAACATAGCAACTTGATCCATCAATAACCCAAATGTGCATCAACTTACGTGCTCTCTGCAGTAATTGTTTTTTCGTCCGTATCTGTGTTCGGTGTACTGCTCAGGTTATCGTAATCGGTACCACTGTCTACCTGAATTTGACGCTCGGAAACCATATCATTCTCCCGCTTCCGATATGCTGAAAGTATTTGCTTTCAATCGCACCTCAAGTGAAATTCCATCTTTAAAGTTCTTTTGTCTATATGTTCTCTCTTGTAAGCTTATGCAAACTGAATTCAGCAAAGTTATATTTGCTGTGAAAGCATTAGATGAATTAGATGAATCAGAATTAGATGAATTAAATGCCAATGTTTCCAGTTGTTTCATTCAATCGGACAGCATAAAGTTTTCAAGGTAATCGAGAAAATGTTATAGCATAATACAAAAAGTTGTCGTAATATGGGTTGAATTGAACGACGTAAGACAGAGAACAATTTGCAACTCAGACACAACAAGCGAATGAAATTCATTTGCGTGCAAAGTTGCAATGAAATCTCTCTCATTCAACAGCACTGATGAATGGAGGTTGAAGTGAATGTTTTGGAGAATTTGAGTTGTAATAAGAAGAGATCTAAGCAATACGAAGGCATAACGACGACGTCTTGCCGATAGTTTATTATTAACTTCCGATGATAAGCTCGATAATCCATAAACAAAACCACAACAATTGCGTTTGTTACTTAAAGTTTGCTCTGTCTGGCGATGATTTGTCATCATTTCACTCATTTCATGATGATGAGACGACTCGAGAGGTAATTTTATGATGGCATGATTGAAGAGGGAATTTACGATGCAATGAAGGTGTTACTCTCAGATTCACTCTGTGAAATCAAACCAATGCAAATTTACACTACACTCATCATTTCGATCGCACTGCAACAAATGAAAAAAATGAAATACTTCAAAAAATCGAATTGTCCATAAATATCATCTCAACAATTGATGTTCAGCAGTACACTCACATGATATGTCCTGAACTTCTGGGATTTGTTATTAAAAGTAGAACCCTATGAGTTCATCAAAATTTGATAAGAACTCATTAGTGTCTTCATAAGTGGCATTCAAGCAAACTACGAGCTCTTCAATTGCAGTCATTGAAAACTGTTCTGATGCCCGATTCTGGCAGGCGAAAGGTATCACAGGAGTTTCATGGAGCAAATTGAGACAGTGACCAAAATCTAGAGACCATGGGACAATTTGATGACGGCCGTAGTTTTGCTCTTTCATGTGTGAACTCTGATCACAAAATTGGTCATTATCCTTCGCCATTAAGCAGCATGACAAAACCAGCATTACGGATTCTTGGAGAGTTTAAGCAAGTCAAGAGATCGATCATTGAAACTTCGTGAATGAATATGCATCAAGCATTCATGAATTTGTGCACAGTATGCGAAATAACACGACTGTGTCGTTTCCTCTAACACTATGTGAAACGTTAACTGGACATCACAGGTTTTCAGATATCAATGATTGAATAACTTAAAACATTCCCCCACTAAAACTACTTAAATTTCTCTAAACATGATTCGTGGAATGATCAAACAGAAGAATGAGCACCGTAAAAGCTAACTGGTACCCATAAGCAATGTCTAGAAAAGTTAAAAAACGATGAAGAAAACAGTTGAATTGATGCAAAATAACGACAAAGATAGGTGTCATCAAAAGATAAGCTGTGCAATATGGTAAGATGGACGAATGTGACCTGAAGAAAGCAAAGGTCACCATACGAGAACAAACAAACACTTGTGCAGTTGATTGACAAACGATATCAACAACAACTACTAATACTACCCATAGCAGGTAGCAATTGCGCATTGGAAATCGATCTATCGCATCCCGTTGGAATCAGTTTAATGATGAATATATCGATGACAAATTAACTGGTTTACGAGTGTTCTGTCCGCAAATCCCTCACTAATCTATTGTTCTGCAAAACAATCTCATCTCGATACCGGCACATAAATAATGTGGTGCATATGAGTGATCCAAAAATACGGCTACATCATATTCAGTACACTACAAAATATCGCTTCCCACTTATCCATCACACCATTTGCTGCTATGCGCTATTCAATTGCGACTGATATCGGTGTGTATTTACGAGATGGATACTACATGTCAATTGCCATTAAAACATCGCCACTAATACACTACGGCTACAAATTGGTGTAAAGCAATCGAACAATGCCGATTCATTAATCATCTAAGAACAAAAAGATAGATGCTTCGCCCTATCCATATCTACACAAATCCACAAAACAACAACAAACCGAGCAGAAATTGTTGTCTTCGTTATCAATCTAGCATTCATCTCAACTCTGTTTTGCATTCTGTACCGTGTTCTTAA